GGAGAAAAGTGCTACAATGAATGAATGGAATTCCAAGATCTCTGTAGATGTTCATTGAAATGAAAAATAAATAAATTAATAAAAATATTTAAAAAATGATACAGACAACACTAAAGATGTCTCTATCCATCTTCTAGAGGTGGGTGGATGGAAAGAGAAAGACATTAGCCTTAATTCTAAAATCAAAGTTACGGGACACAACATTATGGTCAGCAGGAAGGTACTTAAGTGTTACCAACTTTAGAACTGCAGCATTTCTCATAAGTTTTTCTTAATATGCTTCTAAAGTCTTTGTTTCTCTTGAACAAACTCCTGAACTGCATCAGGTCAAGCATAGAACAATTATTTATGCACAACATGGGGGAAATCGGCATTCTACAACAGTATAATCCCGTAATTCGTGTGTGTGTGTGTGTGTGTGTGTGTCCCATTGGCCTAAACTAAGTTTCACCCATAGAATCCCCGCGTGTGTCCCCATCAGCCTAGGCGAAGTTTCACCCAAATGTGTGTGTCCCCATCGGCCTAAACGCAGTTTCACCCAATCCCTCGAATCTTCCAGCCCTTCACAGGCTCCATTCTGGCCTGTTTAGGTGTAAGATGGGCTTGGAAGTCTTATCCCCACTGTGCCACACTGCACAGATCAAACAATTCTCTTTTCCAGACATTTCAGATTTTGCTCTTTTCAGATCTTTTCCCTCCCTCAGTTTCGGATGCACCTTCCCTTCCTTCTCTCACCATCCTCTCAGGAATCGTTCCTGAGGTAAAATCTCCTAGTTCCGTCTCCAGCGGAAGCGCGTGCTCACTGGCACGTGACTTCTGCACCCGCTCTGCCATTGGCCAGGGCAAGCCCCGCCCCTAAAATGGCCCGCGCTTGATGTTCTGGGTCTCTGTGTGTGGGTCCGCAGAGCTGAGGGTGCTCAAATCCTCTCAGATGATTAACACCTTGCAGTGAGAGTCAATGGTGACTGCTGGACCATTGGCGAAGAAGGCAAAAGCCTAAAGGGTTTGAGGAGTAAAGATGTCTGAGCTGCTTTGCTAACTAACGATGCGCTAGTGTGATTAGTCAGTGCTGGCAAGACCCATTAAGGCCAGGAAAGGGCAAAGGCAGAAAAGTATTCCAAAGGTAAAATTGAGAGGATGTAGCAATCAAAGGAGTTTGGAGGAAGCAAATGGGAGAGACAGATATGACTCAGATGTGCAGCTAGGAATTCCTAGCCTTGATGGCAGCAGGACCTGTCAGCAGTGTCTGAAGATAATGAGTTTAAACTGGGACAAATGAATTTATACCTCACTTGACAGCCACCACCTCCCATCCACCCATACTAAAATACAAATATACTCATTTAGAACTCTCTGGATCCATCTGCTGGGGAAGAACTGTTGCTTTCTCTGTTTCTTCAGTCCTGTTTTCCTTTCCATGATAATGCTTGGCATTAAAATCTATCCAAGGTTACAAGAAGTAATATATACGTACTTATTTTACTAACACATTGCTGTCTTTCAACTATGATTATTAATGAAATACTAATTGTGAAACATTAGTGAATAAGTAAAATTAGCTTCTTAAATTATCATTATTTTGTACAGGTCTGTGCAGTTTGCTTCAGTGACAGATTTGGCAAGAGTCAAATTTCAAGATGTCAGCCTGGTTGCCGAGGTATCTTAATTATTTAGTTAATATTCTTGGGTATATAAATTTTATTTAAATTAATTTTCATTTAGATAATTTTATAAAAATTACAGAAGCAAAATA